TTTTTTTTTTTTTTTTTTTTTGTCTGTTTCAGGCCCTGATTTGGGTGGTTGTCTTAGGCTGGGTGTTTGTTCCCATTTACATTAAGGCTGGGGTAAGTATCTGCTCTGTTATTCCATGTCTTGCTGATAATGTATATTTATATATGTTTACATATGTATACACATATATGCACACACACACATATATAATATGAGCTCCATCCTCCTGAAAGCAGAGGAGGCTTTATGGAATAAGTGGCAGAGAATGACTTGTGTTTTGGCTTTCTTTTCCAGGTTATAAACTTTTGACTACTTTTTAAAAAAAATTTTGACTACCTAAAAGCAATTTTTTTAATGTTTATTTATTTTGTTATAGTGTCTTGTTCATAGTAGGCATGTTGTATAGGGATATATATCTATCACTTCCTCTTCCAGGGCAAAGATCTGCTTTCTTGGTTATGTACAGTCATGTGTTCATTTAAAAAAGTATTTATTGGGCACCTTAAATGTTCTGGGACAATACCCAGCTACCCCTGCAGTGGTAGGGCATGTGGGAAAGAGATGAGCAAATGGCTGGAGAATAGGGGCCATCTGGCTACATCACAGACTTCTCTGACCCACGAGGGTTAACTTTTGAGCATATATCTGATGCCATGTGGATGCCACTGCTCTGCTTGCTCTGGATCTTCTGGTCACTCTGACTGATGGCGACCTCCATTACATCTCATGCAGGTGGTGACGATGCCAGAGTACCTGAGGAAGCGATTTGGAGGCAAGAGGATCCAGATCTACCTCTCTATTCTGTCCCTGTTACTCTACATTTTCACCAAGATCTCGGTGAGTCTACTGCCCCAGGGACGGGCATTGGCTATCTTAGAACCTGCCCGCTCCCTCTTCTTAGTACATCCTGGCCCACCAAGGGACAACAATATTTGTTTCTATTAACTTGGTCCTTTAGTCTTCTTATTCTAAGGAGTAAAGTCCTATTTCATGCATCAAAGAGCCAACACATGGAATTCCTTACCCTTCACCATGTGGAAGGTTAAAAACATAAACAGATTCAAGAAGTTTCAGTGAAAACTGTTCTTAATAGAAGACTAAAAGGAACTTCAGAATATCTAAGGGCTAGTTCTAACCTTAGAGTTAGCTGTGAGTCTTTGTGCCTGGAGGGATCAGAATTTGGCTCTAGGTGATGTTTCTAATACACTTAAACATGGGCAGTCAGTGGCAACTCTTGAAGTGACCTCAGAAATTCTCCCTCTTCTTTTATGGACAGGGAAGTGAAAACTGGGATTAGAGAAAACTTGCTCAGGATCCTGAATCAAAAGTAGAACCCAGACCTCTGGCTCCATCTCACTGTTCTTTTCATTGCATGAGGCTTCTTGTCTGTTTTTTTAGATCTGTTTTTTCTTATGTTGCTCATATTTTTGTGTCATTTCTAAGAATCCATTGCTAAATCCGGAGGTAGAGAGAGAAGTGGCATTTTCTGAGACCACATAGGGAGTGGCTGTAGCTTTTCCTGTTGGTCAGCAGTTACAAAGTGCTCACTGCTCTATCAGAGGAGTTTTCTCATTGGGTATGATCAGTTTTCCTCCTTTTTCTTGTCCTTCCCTATCCAGCACCAAAGGTAAGATTAGACCAATCTCAGCATCTTCCAAAAGATTTGTTGAAATTTGAGTCAGGTTGCATCTGAAATAAGCCTTCTGCTCTAGCTAGGTGGGGTGCTAAAAAATAGCTGCTAGAGCTTTTATTTTCCTGGTTTCTTAAAGCCAAGATGACTACAATATTAAATCACATTTGTAATTTTTTTTTTATTTTGGAAAATTTCAAACATACATACCCAGAGAAAGAATAGTACAATGAGCATTTGTGGAACTAAATCTCATCACTGTGCTTTAACAATGATAATAATTTTGCCATTCTTGTTCACCTATCTCTTCTAACTTTTTTTCCAGAAGTATTTTAAGTCAAATCCTAGATATTATGTCATTTAACTGTGAATTCTTCAGAATATACCTTTGACTTTAAAAAATGTATTTATTTATTTATTTGTTTTTGAGACACGCACAGAGAAACAGAGAGAGAGAGGGAGGAGAGAGGGAGAGATAGAGAGATAGAGATAGAGAGAGAGAGAGAGAGAGAGAATCCCAAGCAGGCTCTATTCTGTCAGCGTAGAGCCTGACTCAGGGCTTAAACTTATGAACTGTGAGATCATGACCTGAACTGAAATCAAGAGTGGGAGGCTTAACTGATTGAGCAACCCAGGTGGCTCATCTTTGACTTAAAACAGACAAACAAACAAACAAACAAAAACATAACCCTTGTGCTATTATCACACAAAAAATCCATAGGAATTTCTTAATTTAGGTAGTTTAATACCTGTCCATATTCAGATTTTCCTGATTATATAAAAATTTTCTTCTTACAGTTGATTTGTTTGAATCAGAATCCAAATGAAGTCTATACATTGTATTTGACTATACTTTCTTTAAAGGAAATACCTATATCTATATCTTCAGCTTACTGTAATTATTTTTCAGTTTTATATCATTACCCTCCAGCCCTAGCCCTGGCCTACATGAACACACTTTTTTAAAAAAATTGGATTGTTTGTCTTTTTCTTTTGTTGAGTTGAAAGAGTTCTTTACAGGTTCTAGACCTTTATCAGATATAGGATTTGCAAATATCCCCCTTTCTGTAGGTTGTCTTTTCCTTTTCTTGACAATGTCCTTTGAGGCACAAAAGTTTTAAATCTTGATGAAGTTCAGTTTATCTATTTTTAGTTTATTTATTTACTTATGCTTTTGCTGTAATTTCTAAGAATCCATTGTCAAATCCAAGATCATGAAGATTGATCCCTATGTTTTCTCTGAAGGATTTTATATTTTTAGCTCTTACATTAAGGTTTTTGATCCATTTTGAGTTATTTTTTTGTATATGATGTGAGGTGGGGGTTCAGCTTCACTCTTCTGCATGTGTATGTCCAAATCTTTCAGCACCATTTGTTGTAGAGACTATTATTTCCTAATTGAATGGTCTTGCACATACATTTTTATACAACTCAATGAAAACATGCTGTTGCCTATAGGGCTGATAGGGCTTTGTCTTGGAGTTAAGACTGATGCCCAGAACACTGCTCTTTCCCTGCCCAGCTTCCTGGCTCAAACTGCTATTGCCTTTGACTGGTCTCTTTGTGTTTTGCCACCATTGTGATGATTTCACCACCTTCACATTCTCCTCCTCTCCTCAGGGTTAGTTTTTAGTTATAAGATGAAGACCCTGGGCTTTTCAATCCTACATCATTAGATATCAGTGCAGAGCCTAGACTGGAAATGCTGGGAGGGGTGGAGAAATCAGGCTTCCTGAGGGAGGGAAGAGCAGATATAGGAGGAGAAAAAGGAATGTAAGCAGGGAGGGAAAGGAGGTCACCCTGGAGCTGGGGGCGGGGTTGACAAAGGAACTGCTCCTTAGTTTAGCTTGTGAGGTGGCACCTGTCTAATGAGCATTGAGAGGAGGGCACTGGGATTCTCCGTCTTGGAACCAAACCTTCAAGTCCACAGTTCAAGCGGGTAAAAGTCTGTTGACTGTAGTTGCCATGGAAAGGGTACTCTTTGCCCTTGGAGCTGGTGTGGGGTAGTCATATAAATAAACTAGATGCCCAACCTCTCTCCTTGCCTTCCAAACACTTACTGTTCAGGTTACTGATTAAACTCTTTTGACTTGGGAGCCCCCAGGTAGCTGAGGGGCAGTCTAACTCAGCTCAAGTCCTGATGGAACCTATTCCCCAGCAGTCAGCTTTTTCTGATTTTTGCTTTTGAATAGTACTTGGTATAGGCTGCTCCCTCTCTGTATGATTTCTGGGGCTTCTTGCTGGAGGCCTTGCCCAACATCCTACCTGCTCCACCTGCTGCCCAGAGGCAGTAATTCCTTGAATAATATGTAGGAAGGATGAGGGTTGCCCTTTATTTAGTGTCAGTCTCTTGCTTAGATTCCAATAGGGGCTTTACTTATTCCATCTCCAGTTCACATAACAGTGCTGCATGGGTAAGGATTTCTGTTTTATTTTCCACTTTGTAGGAGTGATAACCGAGTTTCAGAGAAGTTAGGTAATTTATCCCAAATCACATAGGAAGTGTATGGCAAAACCAAGATTGGCACCCAGGTCTCTTTAGTTTCAGAGTCTGTGTTCTCACAGTTCTACTCTGTGCTGGGATGGAATGAAAGCATAGTGTGGTGGAATGGGATAGATCATCTAGTTCTATGTCCTATGCTCTCATTTTATAGATGGGGAAACAGTTCTCAAGAAGGGAAGGGACTCTGTGGAGTTAAAAAGTAGCAGAATTTTAGGATGAGCAGTAGGATCCCTGTTATTGAATCCAAACCTTTGGCATTATGTAGTCCCTGCCTTTTTTTTTAAATTTTATTTATTTATTTTGAGAGAGAGAGAGAGAGTGAGAGAGAATCCCAAGCAAACTCTGCTGACAGTGCAGAGCCCGATGTAGGGCTCAGTCTCACGACTGTGAGCCAAAATCAAGAGTTGGATGCTTAACTGACTGAGCCACCCAGGCACCCCTGGTCCCTGCCTTCTAAGTCTTTCATTTCTTCTGTACAGAGTCAGTTAAAATTCAAAACCTTGGGAAAAATTAAGATAGCCTGTTAAATAACTATGAACAAGTTTCCAAGAGTAGGATTTCAGAGGACTATGAGGAGAGAACATTGACTACACACTGGTACGAAGGGTCTGAAGGAAGGACATTTAGGCAGAGTGGAGGGGCGGGGAAGGGTCAGACAGATGAGACTTTGTCTCTATACATTTGGCTGACTTCAGGTTCACCATGAATCATAGAACATGAAATCATTAAAATAATTATGCTGATGTTGAATGTACCTTCTAGGAGTTCACATTAAGATACACATGAGTTTCAAGTTCATGGACAAAAGAAAAGAATTGTTAGTTAATAAAGTAAGATAGGTGTTTATTTACATTACACACAAAGATTAATCAATTTTGTTGTGTGTGTGTAGAGGCATTGTGTGTGATGGGTGAGAAGAGAAGGGGTCTTGTGAGATCCAAGTCCACATAGAGAACAACTAGGGACATGCCAGGAAGGCTTGGGGAGGACATAGGGATCCAGTGAGTATGTAATTGATAGGAGAGAAAAAGCATTTCAGGTGCAGGGGTCCAGTTGTGATCCAGGCCACTGAGTAGCAGTAGTGTGGAATCTTGACTATGGCTACTGTCTTGTGGCCAGATTTTGGGCTTTGAGACCCGGATTTGATTATTCCTCCATGCACTCCACTGAATTGTATTGGCTCCCCGCTGTCCCCCTCCCGAGCACCCTGACTTATCAAGTTCTGAGAAGTGTTCTGCTCTGTAAAATTTCCTAGTATCGCATACCTTATTCACGTGTGCGCAATCGTTTGAGATAAGCCTCAGACTTTATGCATTACATATGATGACTGAATGTCCCTATTTATGTTTCCTGGGGCTATTAACATGACTGCAGTAAACTTTTACAGCAACTCCACTGGCCATTTTGGATCCTTGAGTGAAAATAAGAGCTTTGGCTTTTGCTTAAAGTTTGAATACTTATTACCTGAGCCATTCACTTTCACAAATGAAAAGAGAAATTTGAGCAATGGGGCTTTTGATCTCAAATGTCGTTGCCAGGCAGGATTTATTGGGGGCTCAGATACAACTCGGACCAGAATGGGCAGCAAAAGCACACATATAGAATCACAGGATCTCAAAGCATCTGAGCTGAGATGAAGTAATCTGCCCAAGGCTCATGGTCAGAGACTCATAGGTTTTCCTATGAAAAAACTCCTATGAAAAAAACTCAAGAGGTTTTCCCAACTGAATCTGTAATTTTATTATTCCCCATGAATCCCATGGACGTGGTTCAGTCAAATTTTCAAAGTGACAGGAACAAAGCTTTTGAGCTGAATCTAACTCCTTGTTTTTGTAAATATAGTTTTATTGGATCATGGCTAATATTGTGTTGTCCATAGCTGCTTTCATGCTTTGACTGCAGAGTTGAGCAGGTTAGACAGATACTGTATGGCCTACAAAACATGAAACACTTATTACCTGATCCTTTACAGAAAAAGTTTGCTGACCCCTGGTCTAGAGTGTGATAGTTTTTTATTTTACTTCAATTTGGTTTTGCTTAGCAGCATTGGGGAAATTTGCTTTTTTCCTTCCTTTCTTCTATTTTCTCCCCCCCCCCCCCTTTATTAAGGGCTAAGAGTAGTTTAGAGAAGGAGCAATCTGGGAAGAGCTGAGAAACAAATGATCCCATAGGATTACAGGAGAGTTCTTTTCTATTAGTGCTGGTGGTATATTTACCTATTCATTCCCCTACTTTTATAAATTAAAAAAGTATGTTTGAAATACTTCAAACATACAAAAAAGTAAAAAGACTAATATAGCAAAGACCACCACTCAGATTCTATAGATCTCAAAAAATCAGTCATTTTTACAGAAAAGAAATAAAACACAGATATTATGGAAGTCTTATCTCTATCTTTCTTGACCCTGTTTTCTTCCTTCTGAAAAGTTGTACATGTTTTAAACTTGGTATGTTTTCTTCTGGTCTGTTTTAATATTTTTACTACATATATATGTACACTTATATATCCCATAAAGAATATAATGTTTTTAAATTTCTGCTCCCCCTACTTTTGAACTGTAAGAAAAATGAAACAATGGTATTTAAGAAAATCTGGAGGAGAAAGCACCCATAATCCCATGGCTTTAATACAGATATTTCATATTGTGGCCTCACCCATATGTGTGCTATCCTTTACAGAATTGCAGTTGGAATGTGCATAGCATTTTGTCATCTTTCTTCTCCATCTTTTTTTTTTTTTAAAGTTTTATTTTTCAACGTTTTTTATTTATTTTTGGGACAGAGAGAGACAGAGCATGAACGGGGGAGGGTCAGAGAGAGGGAGACACAGAATCTGAAACAGGCTCCAGGCTCTGAGCTGTCAGCACAGAGCCCGATGCAGGGACTCACGGACCATGAAATCATGACCCGAGCCAAAGCCGGCCGCCTAACCGACTGAGCCACCCAGGCGCCCCATTCATAATTATTATTTTGGGGACTGTGGAACATAACTGTTGACATATAGTTTTCAGCAAGCTATTTGGAAATCCTCTGGCAGACCAAAAGCTCTTGACAGTGGTCACCTTTGGTCCAAATCATGGAAGTAGGGACATTTTTACTTTTCAGTGTATAGCTTTCTGTGCTGTTTTTTCCCAACCATACCCATAAATTATTTTACCTTAAAAGTAGGTAAAACAATTTTTTTAAATGATAAAATATCTTGCTCTCTGCAGAAAATAATCTAGAAAAAAGAGCCCTTACCTTTTAATGTTGTGGCAAAGTCACTGAACTTGGAGACAGAAAACTGGATTTTAGCTCTTGAGCATGTCATAAATTTGGTCTCTCTTATCTATAAAGTGGAGCCAATATATTGTCCTATTACCTTGTTTTGGAGATTAAAACAATGTATCTGAAAGCACTTGGTAAACTATAAAATTCCCTAGATATGGGAGAAAAAAAAAAACCCTAGTAAAGCACATAAAATTTGGGTACCTAGGATTCAAAGACTAATGTCAGAGTGCCTGGACTAACGTGAGCTCAGGTATGGCATGGCATCTGGAGGCACTCCTGCTGGCTTTCAGGGTTCAAAGGGCACAATTCATTTCTGAAATTAGGAGTGACTCATGGGAGATAGAATTTGTCTTAGGTTTCTTCAATTCATGAGGAATGTGTTCTTGGAATTCTTTATCTGCCCTGTTAGCTGGAAATAGAGTATCATAAAGACAAGATTTCCATTAGCCTAACACTTCCCATAAGTCTTTGTAGACTTTAGTTATAGCATTATCTTAGGAGTTGTGTGTTACTTATTTGTGACTGAAGATAGGAAGGAACATATTAATGAGGGTAACACAGTCTTCTATGGCATGTTGTCATAAAGCATTACAAATGAACTACTCTGAAAAACAAACCAACCAAAGGCATTTTTAAGGCAGTAACAGCCTTGGAATATTTTTATTGCTCACATATGCTTATTAGCTAATCCACCAAACAAAAATGTATGCACTTACTAGCACTCCTATGTAATCAATGAATGGGGCCCCTTCAACTGGTATAACTTTGTGTAATGATATAGAGGCATGGGAGGGGAGGGTCCAGCATTATGAATACTCATCATAATTCCAGTGGATTAATGTGCAGGGTCAGGAAGAAGTGGCCGTTTCACCTTTAGCTAGGCTGACGTGCAGCCAGGGGCTCTTTCTTCCTCTTTGGCATTAGAGGACCGGGTGGAACAGGTCCAGGACCTGGGAGGGGAATGCTTTCTTTGGTTGCAGGACTTTCCCACTTCCAGCCACTGTGAATCATAAACCTTCAGAGTCAGAGCTTACTTTAAAAATGAGAACACAGAGACATGGAGAGGTGAAATGTTTTATCCAAAGTCACTCAGGCCTACTATGGCAGCACTGGTGTTAAAACCCAGGTCCTCTGACCACCAGCCTTTGTTTATGTGGGATTTCTGACTCTACTTCTCCTCATCCACCAGGAATGACAATGATATTAGGTCCCCTGGGGCTAGAGAATCTGCAGGGGAGCTAAGGCACCAGTACTCAGGAGACCCATCTTGGGAGAGAGAGTTGCACATAAGCTTGGAGTTGGTGTGAGACAAGCTCTCTGCCAAGTAATAGAGGCAGGGACTAGGAGATTTGCTTGGCAGGGAGATGAACCGCTGGAACTGTAAGGAGGTGGAAGTGGGGAAACCAAGAATGGAGAGGAGACGCAAGGGCACCATTTCCAGGGTTGTGACTGGGTGGCCCTTTACACACCCTGAAATACATTAGGTTTTATGCAATGAAACAGCTCATGCATTGCTTCTAAGGGAGGTCTAATTTCATTCACACCGAGGGATTTGAAAAAAAGGTTCACTAAGAAATCCCTTAATCCTACCCTTCCTGGTAGTATTTTGGAGCTGCCATGAAAAATTCATTTTGGGTGACTCCAGTGCTCTCTGTTGGTTAAAATTAGGAATTGCACCATACAGCCAGGTAGAAGATTCTTTATGGGGCTAAATGAGGCAGGGAGGAGAAAGAGAACAGCATCAAGAACATAACTGGTGAATTTGGGGGTGAAGAGGGAACACTTTTCCCTAAAGCTACATGAGATAATCTAGATAAAACCACCTAGAAGCAAGACTGCCATGCAAGAGATTCTTGGTGATGTTCTGGTTGTGTTTGAGTCAAGGTGGACTCCATCTGGGCTGAGAAGATAAAATTATGATATTGCTAAAGTTTCTCTCTGCTCCAGAGTGTGGGTGGGGTTTCCCTCTCATGGACTCTCTAGCACTCAAACTTGCTTTTGGGAATAGATTTGATAAGCCTTTGCACACTGAGGTGTAAATGATGGATAATAGCTTAGAGCAGCAGTCCACAGGTGGGTTGGGCGAACCTCAAGGTGTTAATAGTTATTCCTTGGCAAACAGAGTTCCATAGTTAATTAAGTTTGTGAAGGGTCATTTCCCATGGTCCTCTCCTGGCGATTCACAGTACATGCTGTATTTTAAAGGCTTAGAGAAATTGTGTGTAAAGAAACTGCCTTAATTTGTTTAATCCAGCATTTCATAGACTTTTTTTGACCAGGGAATCTTTTCTTCCCGTGGGATATCTACTATCATCTTGAATAAAGCTTGTCGAGAAACCTAGAAATATAGTATGATCCTGAAGTGTTAATATTTTTTTATTTTTTATTTTGTTGTGTTAAGAACACTTAACATGCCATCTATCTTTTTGACAAATTTTAAGTGTAAAATACATTATTGTTGACTATAGGGACAATGTTGTATGGCAGATCTCTAGAACTTATTCATCTTACTTAACTGAAACTTTGTGCCCGTTGATTAATAACTCCCCATTTCCCTGTCCCCCAGCCCCCCTTCGTGGTAATCACTATTCTAGTCTTTGATTTTATAAATTTGCATATTTTAGATATCATATATATGTGGAAATGTGCAGTACTTGTCTTTTATATTCTGAACCAGGGATAAAAACATGAACCTCTAATTGGGGGATTTTAGCCAAAGGGCAAGGGATGTGTGGTCTAACAATGGGCTGCAGAAATCACAAGCATTGACATTACTAAGGAAACACTTTCTGCTACCCCTTTCAAGTTTGCCTCTCTGTCCCTGCAGCTTAAGTGCCTCAGTCAGACCCTGGGTGCAACTTGCGGCCAGCTGGCTTCCCTCATTCCTAACTCTGTCTCTCCTCTCCTTCCAGGCAGACATCTTCTCTGGGGCCATATTCATCAACATGGCCTTGGGTCTGGATCTGTATTTGGCCATCTTTCTTTTATTGGCAATCACTGGTCTTTATACTATCACAGGTGAGTCCTACAAATGACTCAACTGAAGCCCAGGAAAGGAGGAGGACCTAGGAGACATAGCTTCTTCTCTCAATAAAGAGAGATACACCCAAGAAACAGTTTTAGGATGGAGTGTTTGCTTAGTCCCCACTCTCAGGCCCTAACAAGTTATACGGGGCCCCCAGAAAACTCCAGTGTTGGGTGGAATAGTCAGGACAGCTTCTTCTAGGAAGTGGGGCAGGGCCTGGCCTTCCAGGTTGTGGATAGAAGTTGGGAGAATTAGAGAGGGAGTGCCAGGTGCAGGGATAGGGGAGAGCAGGGAATGGAGTCAGGAATGGGCATGGCATGGGTTTGGGCCAGTGTGAGCAAGATGTGTTTGGCTGGAGATGGGTGGTCAATGGGAGGTACCTGGGTTATGTGTGTGGGTGATAAGTCCTGATAGTTCAAATGAGGCCACAGTGCAAGGGTCCCGGAAGCCAGAAGGAGGCTTTGGGTTTGATGTGACAGCCACTGGGAGGCACTGTAGGCAGGAAGGGAGGGAGTGACACATACAGAGATTTTAGAAGAAGACTCAAGAGATGAATGCAGAAGCTAGTGACAGGAAGAGCAATTGGGGACACCTTTTCGGAAGTGTTACTCTGTTCTAGGTTGGGGAGGGGGCTGGGTCAGTAATGAAGTTTGCTGTGTAGCTGGAGTCCCACAGCTTTTGGGACAAGAAATTACTTAGAGCAGCTCGGGCGGCGGGAGGAGTGGTAGCGGCCAGGCAGCCCAGCTTCGCGAAGGCTCTCGGTGCGCGGCGGCCCCCATGCAGCCGGCACGTGCCCGCCCCGCCGCCACGATGCCCAAGAGGAAGGTCAGCTCCGCAGAGGGGGCAGCGAAGAAGGAGCCCAAGAGGAGGTCAGCTAAACCTGCTCTTGCAAAAGTGGAAACGAAGCCAAAAAAGGCGGCGGGAAAGGAGAAATCTTCAGACAAAAGAGTGCAAACAAAGGGGAAAAGGGGAGCTAAGGGAAAACAGGCTGAAGTGGCTAACCAAGAAACAAAAGAAGACTTACCTGCAGAAAACGGAGAAACTAAAAACGAGGAGAGTCCAGCCTCTGATGAAGTAGGAGAGAAAGAAGCCAAGTCTGATTAGTATCATATCCCATGTCTTACCAGTGGTCCCTGTCTCCCTTCTTGTACAATCCAGACATTTTAAATTACTTCTATTCCCACGTTGTTTATGCTAGAATTGTTTCCTAAAGAAAACCACTCCTTGATCTTGCTTGGCTCTCCCTGTCAGAATTTTGTGCATTCTGTAACATGTTGGTTGTGGTAGTCCAGTTTCCTAGTAACCTTGTTAATGTCTTGTGCAAGATTGAAAATTTGAGTATGTAGTGTATATGACATTAAATTGTGAATTAATGGGACTTAACAGTGTAACAGCATATCAATATTTGAAGATACCAGTACTTGATATACTGTTAAGGGAAATTTGCCTCCAATTTTAAGCTGGAAGTTCACTGTAATAACTTTGAGAAAAGAACCACAGCTACATGGTTTTTTTTAGGTTTTCGGTACGTACGTTAAGAATTGTGTACAAATTGAATTGTCTGTACTGATCCTCAGAACAACAAATAAAAACTCAATTATGAAAGAAAAAAAAAGTTACTTAGATGGTCTGAGTAAAGAGAGAGCAGACATGCTAGTGGCCCTTTGAAATGTGTTGATTCAGTAAAGTCCCCAGACACCTTGTAGAGATGTCTACTCCTTGCTCTTCCCTGTCTTCGTTTATGGAAGACATGTTTTTTTAATGTTTATTTATTTTTGAGAGACAGAGAGAGCACGAGGGGGGGATGGGCAGAGAGAGAGGGAGACACAGAATCCAAAGCAGGCTCCAGGCTCTGAGCTGTCACCACAGAGCCCGATACAGGGTCTGAACTCAGGAGTGGTGAGATCATGACCTGAGCTGAAGTCAGACACTTAATGGACTGAGCCACCCAGGCGCCCCTGTGGAAGACGCTTCTTACCATAACCATCTCCTTTGAGCCATCTCCTACCTTCAAATGGTTGCATCAAACTCTTCCTCCTCAAGCAGGGAGAAATATTCAATTTCCAAGGCCTTCCCAGCGTTGTGAAAAGTGGAGGTGTGGGAACATGCTGGGTAGCAGACTACTGTAAAAGAACAAGAGAGGGAAGGAAAGTTAGGTGACTGAGGGGTGTGCTCAGAGGGTGTGCAGAGGGAGAGGGGCAGGCAGTGGGCAAAGGAGGTAGGCTGACAGGTTGTCCTCCTATATGAGGTCAGACATATTGTCTCCTTTGCCTGCTTAGGGGGCCTGGCAGCTGTGATTTACACGGACACCTTGCAGACAGTGATCATGCTGGTGGGGTCTTTTATCTTGACCGGGTTTGGTAAGTGGGGCTGGAGCAGACTGGGGAGGTGGGGTGGCAGAGTAAGAGGCCCAGGGAAAGAAAAGCAAGCCTAGCCTCCCTGCCTGTTGCTGGTCCGGGAAGTAAGCCCGGTACCCTCTGCCCTCTCTAGGGGAGTGGTCCAGCCTAGATTGGCCATCACTGTGGGTGTACAGAGGGCACCTTCCTCAGCCCTGGAGATCTCAGACTAGGCCAGGCCCAGACAATACCTGGATTCCCTACTGCTCTCTCTAGATGGACTGAGCCAGTGGTTCCCAATGTGGGCCTCTGATGTCATGGTCCGCTCTCCACAGAAAAACTGGACAAAAAAAAAAAAAAAAAAAAAAAAAAAAAAAAAAAAAAAAAAAAAAGGATAAGGCTAAAATCCAGCAGGCTAAATATATTCAAATGTTAAATATCCTTTCTTTTATGAGTTAATGACAATAAGTGATCATTTTCTTGTTTATGTCCTTATTTGATAAAATTTTAAAAATTAGCCATTGTGTGTTGTCCCTTGACTCCAATTTTGAAATTTTATTTGTCTGTGAAATCCTAAAGACAAAACTGGAGACCCTAGATACAGAGGTACTTGTTATGGGAGAATATAAATGCATTTTGTTTTTAAGAGGGCCTGTACTCTCTGTGTGTCCTGTGAAGCCTCTTATCCAGTCTCTGTTCTCTTCTTTCCAAGAGCTTCTATTTGGTTTCCCCCCAGTGGTCTATGGGGTTCAGCAGGGCAGAGGCTGGAATACCTTATTCAAGGACACACAGCCAAGAGGTGGTAGGGCTCCTTACCCTTTCTCCTTACTCCTTACCCTTTCTCTGTCTGTCTTACCACATTGCTGTGACCAGGAGGGTATGACTGAGTCTGTGTGTCTCTAGGTCTCTGTGCAGGATTTTAAAGGCTGCTGCTGACAGCAAAAGGGAGGGGAAAAGAGGCCTTGAATCTTCAAAACCAAGGTCTTTCTTTTAATAATTCAAGTCTTTTCCCTTTTTTAATTAAAAAGGGAAATTTTTAATGTTTATTTATTTATATTTGAGAGACAGAGAGAGAGAGGCAGAGAAAGAGGTAGACAGAGAATCCCAGGCAGGCTCTGCACTAGCAAAACTCATGAGCCATGAGATCATGACCTGAGCCGAAATTAAGAGTCAGACGTTCAACCCAGGTGCCCCAAATCCTTTCTCTTTTTAAAAAGGTTTATGGTTGAAATACTTTTACAGGTTATTGTTTTGGACCCTCAGAGTAGCCCCGCAAGGAGGTTGGGCAGGGTTAATAATCCCATTCTGTGGATGAGAAGGTTGAGGCCCAGGTTGGGAAAATGACTTGCCCAAGACCACACTGCGAGGGTGATTTCTCAGGCATTCACAGGAAGAAACTTGAATTAAGAGTTGAGAGTTTCAGGATGTTTGTTGCTGATGTTTTCCAGCTTTTCACGAAGTGGGAGGGTATGATACCTTCATGATAAAGTACATGAAAGCCATTCCAACTGTGATTTCTGATGGAAACATCACCATCAAGAAAGAATGTTATACACCGAGAGCTGACTCTTTCCACATCTTCCGAGACCCCCTCACTGGAGACCTGCCATGGCCTGGGCTCACCTTTGGGTTGTCCATCCTTGCCCTGTGGTACTGGTGCACAGATCAGGTACCTATGCTGGATGTGTGGAGTGGACGGGGTGTTCCCAGGTCTCTACAGGGACTCCTGTCTGTGGCTTGTGGTAGTGGGTAAGGTAGAACAGGGCTCATGTGGTCTGGGGTCACTGAGCCTTACTGACAAGGAGGTGCCAGGCCAAGGGCCGAGGACATGTAGGAGTGTTGCTGCTAGGAGTAGCCAGAGGGCATTGAGGGGTCTCTGGCCTGCACCCCTCTCTCACTGCTTTCTCTGTCAGGTCATTGTGCAACGCTGCCTCTCAGCCAAAAACATGTCTCATGTGAAGGCCGGCTGTGTCATGTGTGGGTACCTGAAGCTGCTGCCTATGTTCCTCATGGTGATGCCGGGAATGATCAGCCGCATCCTGTACACAGGTGATGCCTTTTGCTAGACTCAGCAGCCACTCTCTTCCATTTTCCAGGCTCTGTGTAACTTCTAAAGCCCTGTAGCTCTCTGCTCTTTCTTTTCTGCCATCTTCTGTTTTTTCTTGCCACAATTACCAGGTATTATTATTCCCCCTTTAGATTGCAAACAACTTAAGGTCACAGAGCCTGTGGGGTTGTCTTTCTGGTTCCTTACATTGACAATTACTTTCTTCCCTTTTCCAAATTCTCTGAAGTCATGATACACCTCTAGCTGTAGCTTCTTCCAGCTAATATTTGCTAACTTTTTGCTCAGTCTTACTCAGGCCATGGTGGTGTGTCTTTAATGGCAAAGGACCCTGCCCAGTCTCTAATTGCTTGGTGCTCAGAGCCCTGTTTCTTGGACCATTTCCTTGAAGAGCCCCGAGTCTTGTACTTTGTTATCTAGGGTGATAGAGTCTTTCTTGGCCCTTTTGAGGCTTCTCCAGATTTCCATTTGCTTTTTTGGGTCAGCCATAATAGGTCAAAACTGTTTCCTGGAATATGAAATAATGGCAAAAAAGAGAGCACCATGGAGTGAAACTTTGGTAAGCTCTCTCCAAAATGAAGACAGGACAGTCTGGGGGTACTTGCTGCCATTGGCTGTTAATCATGCTCCTAATAGTGATCTCATACTCCTATACTAGCTCACCTGTCATGAGAGTAATATTCTTAACTGAATAATTTATGATATAATAGATATAACACACTTAATATTTGAGGCAGTGCTATAATGAATCAATGCTCTACGGAACAGCACTAAAGGATATACCTATAGTAGGTACATAATAAATGTTTGTTGTTTTAATTCTAAAGAAGTTACTAAAATTTTCCCTAAGCCTCTAAATCATGTCCCCTTCCCTTTCCAGACTACCTCCTGTCTCTCTCCACTCCAGATTTTTCACATCTTAGAAGTACTACCCAACAGCATTCCTAGTGGGGAATTCCCTCAGTCATCTGGTGTTCAATCCTACTTGTAAAAGCTACTTCAAATAAACTTCAAAATTAGGAGCCACAGTTTCATTGTGATTTTCAGGAGAAACAAGACAATAGTTACTGCTAAGCTGTAGAGAGTTCCAAGCTAAAGATTGTGCCCCCTCCCTTCCTACTCTGAGCATTGCTTTGCTTCCCCCTTACTCTGCCTAAGAACCTTTTTCTCCCCAGTAAGATCTTAGAGACAGTCATACCAGTGGGGCAGGGGCATGGCATAGAAGGGCTCAATTTGGAGCTGCACTCTCTGTGGAACCAATTCAGGACCATGGGCAGGAATGTCTTGTTCGAAGCCTTGTTTTAAGAAAGCGAATCTTGGAAGTATTTCCCCAATGTCTACTTACTGACCTGACTTTTCATCTTTCTCCAGAAAAAGTTGCCTGCACCGTCCCCTCGGAATGTAAGAAATATTGTGGCACTGAAGTTGGCTGTACCAACATGGCTTACCCGACCTTGGTGGTGGAGCTCATGCCCAATGGTGAGAGTCACCTTGCTGGCAGGGTCTTTCTTTGGAGGCTGATTGGACTTATACTTTATGTAGATTTCTGCAGCCCTCTGGGGAAAAGCCATTTCTGAGCCTTGGGGCCGAGTAGGGAAAACCTCCCTCTGGGTGTCCTCAGGTTTTGAACATGTCTTCCCTCAGCGGAAGTCACCTTATGACTTGGTTGAGCTCTATGAGACCTGGCATGTGTCCATCAGTCAATCTTGGAAAAGAGGTGACCTGAAAATGGGCTAGCGAAAATCACGACTTTTCCATGCTATCTAGAAGGTCTTTCTAGCTCTCCAACAGACATTAACATGAAAGCTTGAACTAAATGGAGTTTTTCCTGTGGAATGAATTGATGTTCTAAGAAAAAACCTGGAAAGAAATGCAGAGTGATTTTTAGCTTTAAATGAGGAAGTTGGAGGCAGTAGATGGATGGGCCACCAGGGGGCTTCTCACTACAGAGAAATGTGTTATACTAAAAGATTGAGTACTTGGAGTCCAGAATAGTTAGAGTTTTGGTGTAGACCTGTAGGACTACTGTTCATGTTTCATGTTAAGAAAAATATATTTCTGGCTCAAGGGATGCAAATCTTGTTAGGTTAGCGGGTTTCAGGAGACCAGAAATTCAAAGGTATTGATCAGGTTTTAGAAGAAACTTAAAAATTTTGTTACTGAGAGGAAACCTAGAGACTATTTAGTCAAACCTTTTCATTTTATAGTTGAGGAAATTGAGGCCTACAGAAGGAAAATGATTTTTTCCAAGGCCACACAGCAACTCAGTGTCTGGCTTGCTTAACTCTGCTCAAGGCTGGATTGAATAATTTTTTTAAATCACATACTGGATGTATGATTGGGTAAACCATTTGCATGAAAATTATAAAAAAATGGGGGTAATCATTAACTATTCAACTGAGCCAGGCTGCTTATTAATTAAGGTTGCAATTAGAAGAGTCACACGGCTGGCTCTTTTAGAGTTCTGATTTGGATTACATTGGCCTATGTGGGGGGTGTTTATGTTATTTCTTTTCTTTTTTTTAAGGCTAAAAAAACTTTTTTTTAAAAGTAATCTCTACACCCAATGTGCTTGAACTCCCAACCCTGAGATCAAGAGTCACATGTTCCACCAACAGAGACAGCCAGGCACCCCTGTTTATGTTATTTCTTTAGATTGGCAGATCCTTGGTGAGGACTGTAGGTATTTCTGAACACTGTGTTCGAGTGAATTGTACATGACAGAAAGATGCATGGCATGCAAGACAACAAAATGCTGTGTTTACATGTATCATTGCCATTCCTTCACCTTCAGCTGGAATCTGGCTTCTGTAAACACCGAAATCGACAATGACCTCCCTGTAGTAGATTAAATAGATATTTTTCATTCTTTATCTTATTTGACCCCTCAGTAGCATTCAGCATTATTGATCACTCATCTTTCTTATGTTATTCTCTTCTCTTGGATGCCATAATACTATGTTCTCCTATTTGTCTTTTTACCCCTATCCTTTAGGCTGCAACTTTTTGTCTCATTTGAAGATTCAGTCTCCTCCACTTGGCCAGTAAATGTTGTCCCACCAGTCTGTCACTAAATTCTGTCCATTTTGCTGCCTAAATATCTCTTATATTCATCTATCTCTTTCCAGTGTAGTATCACCCTACACTGATATACCATTATTTCATGCCTGGACCACTGTAAAATTATGTTCAACAAATATTTATTGAGTGAAAAAGAGTTTGATAAGAGTACAAAGGGGAGAGCTCTATCCCAGCTTAACAATTAACTGGTGAAGAAACCCTGAACAAATGAAGCCCTACCTACTAACTCCTTGAAAGGGACCTTTGTTTAAATGTTTTTACTTATGTCTTTTGAGAGACACAGAGAGAGAACACGCGTGTGCACATGTGCATGCAAACGGGGGAAGAGCAGAGAGAGAGGGAGAGAGAATCCCAAGCAGACTTCACGCTGTCAGCATGGAGCCTGATGTGAGGCTCCATCCCACAAACTGTAAAATCATGACCTGAGCTGAAATTAAGCATCAGATGCTTAACTGACTGAGCCACCCAGGTGCCCTGAAATGCACTTTTGTTTTACCAACTGAAAAGTGAGGGAATTAGACTAGAGGATCTTTATAACTCCTTCTATAGCTCCAATAGTCTGTGGTCTATGTGGTACAAACTCAGGAAGGACGATTAAAAATTTCCCAACAAATGACAAAATAATTGAAGGAGACAGCCTTTATTTTTCTTCTTGCAAGGCTGTAGATAAAAACAACTATAAAATTATTTATAGATGTAAATCTAGAGGAATGATAGAATCATTTCCAAAAAGATCTCAAGAGGCAGGGATGTTGACTCAAATGTAATAAGCTAAAGTTTAATAGAGGTAATATGTCAAGTTCTGTATATTTGGGTCCCCCAAAACCAATTATAAAGAGTATTAGAAGAAACTGAGGATCTTTAGTGTGGAGAAGAGAGAGTTCAAGAAGACACGAGTTATCTTTGAATATATGAAAGATGGTGAAGTGGATGAAAGATAAGACCTCTCTGGTTTGGTAGCATAAAGACTGTGTCTAAGGCCACAAAGAGGCAGATAACAGCGTGGTTAGGACTGCCCAAGAGGGAGAAGACTCCCTGTGGGGTAGTAGATCTCCTAATGCTAGAGAGTTTGGGCAGATAGAATGTAGAAGGGATTCTACCAATGGATGATAGGCCTAGGTGACCTCTAAGGTTACTTTTACTTCTAAGACTGTAGTCTCTATGATGGGCTCTCAGCATGACCTGGCCTTCCAACCTAGCAGGGACAACTTTATGCTCTCCTTGGTATGGAAGTAGTAATAGAGATTATAGCCAACCATGCTTGCCATGATTGGGAAAAATTTAAGAACAATCTCTTATTCTGATTTGGGCAAGTGTAGTATTATCCCCATTTAACATATTAGGAGATGAGGCCTAGACGTTGGCGTAACTTGCTTGGGGTCAGAGTTGGAAACACACCCTTGTCTTTTTTTTGATGACAGTTTTACTGAATTATAATTCACATACCACATAATTAACCACTTAAGGTATACAATTCAGTGGTTTTTTTTTAGTATATTCACAGAGTTGTACAACCATCACCACAATTACAATTTTTATCATCTCCGAAAGAAATCCTGTACCTATTAGCAATCATCCCATATTTCACCCCAAACTCCTTAGCCCTAGGCAATCACTGGTATACTCCCTGTCTCTATGAATTTGCTTACTCTGAGCATTTCATATAAGTGGGATTATACAATAGTTGTCCTTTTTGTCTTGCTTCTGTCACTTAGCATAATGTTTTCAAGGTTCATCCATGTCATAGCATGTGTAAATACTTCATTCCTTTTTATTGATAAATAATATTCCATTGCATGGACATATCACATTTTGTTTATCCATTTATCAGTTGATGGACATTGTATTGTTTCTACTTGGCTATTATAAATAATACCACTATGAACATTCATGTTCAAATTTTTATGTGGACATATGTTTTTATTTCTTTTGGGCAGACACCTAGAAGTGAAATTAATGAGTCATATAGTAACTGCATGTTTATTTTGAGAAACTGCAAGATTATTTGCACAGTGGCTATGCCCTTTTACCTTACTGCCAACAATGTATGAGGCTCCTATTTCTTCACATCTCCACCCACACTTGTTATTATCTGTCCTTTTTAAAAATTATTATTACAGCCACCCTAGTGGATACAGAGTAGTATCTTATTGTGGTTTTGATTTGAACTTCCCTGATGTTGAGCATCTTTTCGTGTGATTATTAGCTACTTGTTTATCTTCTTTGGAGAAATTTCTTTCTTTCTTTTTTAAAAATATAATTTATTGTCAAATTGGCTAACATACAGTGTATACAGTGTGCTCTTGGTTTGGGGGGTAGATTCCCATGATTCATCGCTTACATACAACACCCAGTGTTCATCCCAACAAGTGCCCTCCTCAATGCCCATCACCCATTTCCCCCCTCTTTCCCACCTCCCTCCCCATCAACCCTCTGTTTGTTCTCTGTATTTAGGAGTCTCTTATGGTTTGCCTCCCTCTCTGTTTGAAACTATTTTTTCCCCTTCCCTTCTCCCATGGTCTTCTGTTAAATTTCTCAAGTTCCACATATGAGTGAAAACATATGATATCTGTCTTTCTCTGACTGACTTATTTCACTTTGCATAATACCCTTCAGTTCCATCCACATTGCTGCAAATGGCCAGATTTCATTCTTTCTTGTTACCAAGTAGTATTCTATTGTATATATAAACCACATCTTCTTTATCCATTCAGCAGTTGGTGGACATTTAGGCTCTTTCCGTAATTTGGCTATTGTTGAAAGTGCTGTTATAAACATTGGGGTACATGTGTCCCTATGAATCAGCACTCCTGTATCCTTTGGATAAATTCCTAGTAGTGCTATTGCTGGTCATAAGATAGTTCTATTTTTAATTTTTTGAGAAACTCTTTGGAGAAATTTCTATTCAAGTCCTTTGCCCATTTTTAATTGGATTTTTTGTCTTTTTATTATTCAGTTACACATTTTATGCATATATTCTGCATACTAGACCCTTATTAGATATATGAATTGCAATATTTCCTTCTATTCTACATGCTTTTCACTTTCTCAAAAACCTCATTTTTGGAATCCTAGTTTGAATCTTTCTGCCATGCCATGAATTTTTTGAGTAAAAGACCTTATAAAAGTCCTCTTAGATGGAAACACACACACATACCATCATCATCATCATCATTAACCACTATCATCATCATTCATTTGCAAACTATTTACCTCATATATATTTTGCCCCTATCTCTTTGTTGATTGCTTTGGGCTAACAATATAATTTAAAGCCATTGTCCATTCCTTAAAATGTCTAGCCTTTCTGGAGAGATAAATCAAAGAATATGGCATGGTTTCAGAAGGCAAACAAATCTTGAGTCCTCACAATTTCCAAGTACAAAAGAGCTGAGGTACTGTGTGTACCACTCAGAACCTTCTTCTCTTCCAGGACTGCGAGGCCTGATGCTGTCAGTCATGTTGGCTTCTCTCATGAGCTCCCTAACTTCCATCTTCAATAGTGCCAGCACCCTCTTTACCATGGACATCTACACCAAGATCCGAAAACGAGCATCTGAAAAAGAACTCATGATTGCAGGAAGGTAAGTGCAGCTTCTTCTTGTCACCCACCATGAAAGCTTGAATGTACCCGCCCCCTGCCTCCCATGCTAGGGAAGATTGGTAGATATCTGGGTAGAATGAGAGTAACCTCTGTAGCTAGTTATATTTGCATGTCAGTGGGATTTAATTTTAAATTGAAGATCATCAAACAATGCCTGTTTGGAGTAAGATGTGGCATCAGAAATCATCTAGTCTAACCCTCAGTTTATCAACAAAAAAACGAGGCTCATCTTGCCTAAATCCAGGCAGTCTGGACAGTGGCAGAGCCAGGATTGGAACTCAGACCAACTGAGTCCTTGTCCAAGGCTCATTATCCGTTCCCATGTGACCCCCCTCAGTCCTACACTATAGCTTTTCATATGGGCCATCTCTGAGGCCCAGATGCCTCTGATGCCTTGACCCTTTGCTGCAACATTTTGCTAGACCATTATGAAGGTCAAGTGATAGTATGCTTGAGAACATGCTCTGTAAAGTCTAAAGCACAATACTATGTGTACATTTGTTATTGCCAAATGGGGTAATAGACACAATAGGATACTGAAAGCCAGGAGAGTTGGTATATGGGTCGGAGGTGCTCATAATTCATAGAGTGGATGCTCTGGATAGAGTACTAACCAAAGCTCTGCAATGCCTCTTTGTGGGGCTATGGCAGGTCAACTTCTTCAGATCAGGAGGGTCAAGTCTGTGTGATATCAGTCAAGGGAAAGTTTCACAGTGAGTGCAGAAGGGGTATGGGCTGCCACCTCATAGGTCTCATCAGTAAGATTAGGGCAAAGGAAGGAAAGGAAAAATGACAGGCCACTCTCAGGTGATGAAATACCTGGCACCCAGGGGAGATCTGACCAGGCCAGAGTCTACTACTTTGCTTCACAGAAGGCAGCACCATCACCCTGAATGGTTTTTCCCTTAGAAACGACTTCATAATTTTTTTCCTGTTATCTATAAGGCTCAAGATGAACATGGAAAGAGAACCTTTTTTTTTTTTTTTTTTTTTTTTTTTTTTTTTTTTTTTTGTTTTGGGTTTGCTCAGGGGTGGCCTGCTTGGCTCTGAGATTGTTGGAGCTCACATTTTTTGTGTATTCTATGACTGCTGCCCTGGGGCTTATCCTTGCCCTAGACAGGCTTACAGGAAACAATCCCAAACTTTGCTATGGGGACTGTAAGAGCAATCAAGAGCTCAGAGAAGGGAGAGGTAAGCATGGCATGCAGTACTTGAGGAAATCTCCTGGAGGAGGGAGACCTGAACTAAGTCCAAAATGGTGGGTAGTGGGCAAATGGGGGGCAGTGGAAGGACATTCCAGAGGGAGAAATATATGAGTGAAAACACTGCTTTACGAAGGTTAGTTTAAGACTCTTGCCTTAAATTCATGTAAGTAAGGGAAGGGAATCATAGCCCTCTTTCTAATTAAATCAAGAGCACAAGTAAGAGGAGCTTTTAAGGGAATCCTCCAATCTCTTCAAGACTTGAAGTGAAACTCAAGGAGAGGAGAATCGGAAATACTTGGTAGTGTCCATTCCTTTATAAACTCTTTTTGGCTTGTGGTTTTCACTTTATTACAAAGAAGAGGAGGAAAAGGAGGAGGAGAAGAAGAAAATAAAAATTATAGTCTTTACTATTTATTGAGTGGTTACTGTTTGCTAGGTGTTTTACTATAGTTGATCCTTATTCCAAAATAGCAAGGTCAGTCATATTATTCCAAATTCACAAATGGAGAAATTGAGACTCAGAGAGGTTAAGCAAGGTGTCCTTTGTTGCAGAGAGAAAAACATGTGAATTCAGGATTGTCTGGCTCCAAAATCCATACATTTATTCCTATACACTACTACTTGTCGAAGTGTGATTCTTTTATGTCAGTGACAGGTTTAGGTTACTATTGAAAGTCAAGTGCATTTCAGTTATTCATAGGCACAGATGACTTTCCCAAGGAGGCAGCATACAGAGGAAAAAAGCCTCAAGAATGAATTTGCTAATTATTTTTCCTTGCTATGGTCATGTTACACACACACACACACACACCATGTATATATGATATATAATAAATGAAATTACATATACACATATATAAATATATACATTTATCTATCTATCTCCCTATATATCTGTGTATACACACACACACACACACACACACACACACACACACACACACCTGATACATAGAGATATATATTTATTCACACAGAGCCACTTATTGACATTCTGTTGTGGGGGCTTTGATTTCAGGTTGTTCATCTTGGTGCTGACTGGCATCAGCATTGCCTGGGTGCCCATTGTGCAGTCAGCGCAAAGTGGGCAGCTCTTTGATTACATCCAGTCCATTACCAGTTACTTGGGACCGCCCATTGCAGCTGTCTTCCTGCTTGCTATTTTCTGCAAGAGAGTCAATGAACAGGTAGGTATCATTTATGCATGCCTTGAAAAACCACTCTGACACAGAAATTCCCACCCAGATCGATATATTCTCTATGAGAGGGATTCTATTTCCCACAGATCTCAAGCAGGAAGATGTGCTGCTGAGGGTTTGTATGGGAAAGGCTTCAGGGACTCTCCTAGGTTCACATTCTTTTGGACTCCCACTCCTCCTTGCTGCAGCTTCCAAACTCATTCCCAACTAATGATGTACATTTTCCATGTAATCTTGGTGATTTTGACCTGACAACATGACACTCCCTAGGAAGTTTGTAGCCCCTGGGTAAGCAGCTCAGGAGCAAGTCTTAACATAGGCTACCTTCAGTGGTTCTTCAGTGAGCTTGGCTTTCCAGCTGGTAATTCTCAGGGCCCAGTGAAGGATGAAGTCCTGGTGCTCAAGCAGTTTATATGCAAAATAGCATAAGGTAGATAGTAATTGAGGGATAAAATATGGCATAGAACATAAGAAAGGATTCTCAGGCTATATCAACATGAACTGAAACTGAGAGGGAAGAGAGGGCATTCAAAGCAGAGAGAACAGCACCTTCCTGAGGCTCAGAGGTGGAAGTGCAAAGGTAAGGGTGAGGGTCAGGGGCTTGAAAGGAATCTCACCTGGCTTGAGAGAAAGTTTGTGTGTATGGATAATGGAAGACATGCTAGAAAGACAGGTTAGAGTTAAATTAGGAATGGCTCCTTTGAGGACCCAAATAAATTCACAAATGAAAGAGGAGAGATCACAACCAACACCATAGAAATACAAGCAGTTATAAGAGAATATTATGAAAAATTATATGCCAGCAAACTGGGCAATCTGGAAAAAATGGACAAATTCCTAGAAACATACAAACTACCAAAACTGAAACAGGAAGAAATAGAAAATTGAACAGACCCATAACCAGCAAAGAAATGAATCAGTAATTAAAAGTCTCCAACAAACAAAAGTCCAGGGTCAGATGGCTTCCTAAGAGAATTTGACCAGACATTTAAGGAAGAGTTAATACCTATTCTTCTCAAACTGTTCCAAAAAAAAAAAAAAAAATAGAAATGGAAGGAAAACCTCCAGACTTATTCTATGAGGCCAACATCACCTTGATTCCAAAGTCAGGCAAAGTCCCACTAAAATGGAAAATTATAAGCCAATATCCCTGATGAACATGGATGCAAAAATTCTTAACAGGATACTAGCAAATCGAATCCAAAAGTACATTATTCACCATGATCAAGTGGGATTTGTTCTTGGGCTGCAGGGGTGGTTCAATATTTGCAAATCAGTCAACATGATATACCACATTAATAAAACAAAGGGTAAGAACCATATGATCCTCTCAATAGATGCAGAAAAGGATTTGACAAAAATTAAAATTATTGATAAAACCCTCAACAAAGTAGGGACAGATGGAACATACCTCAACATCATTAGGGCCATATATGAAAGACCCACAGCTAATATAATCCTCAATGGGGGAAAACTGAGAGCTTTTCCTTTATGATCAGGAACCAGACAGGGATGCCCACTCTCACTATTACTATTTAACAGTGTTGGAAGTCCTAGCTTCAGCAATCAGACAACAAAAAGAAATAAAAGATATCCAAACTGGTAAGGAAGAAGTCAAACTTTCACTATTTGCAAATGACATGATACTCTATGTAGAAAATTGTAAAGACCCCCACCAAAAAATTGCTAGAACTAATACATGAATTCAGAAAAATCACAAGATATAGCATCAATGTACAGAAATCTGTTGAATTTCTATACACCAATAATGAAGCAGCAGAAAATAGAAATCAATAAATCAGTCCCACTTACAATTGTACCACAAACAGTAAGATACCTAGGAATAAACCTAACCAAAGAGGTAAAAGAGCTGTACTCTGAAAACTATAGAACACTTATGAAAGAAATTGAAGAAGACACACACAAAAAAATGGGAAAAAATTCCATGCTCATGCACTGGAAGAACAAATGTTAAAATGTTTAAACTACCCAAATAAATCTACATATTCAATAAAATACCTATCAAAATGCCACCAGCATTTTTCAGAGCTAGAACAAACAATCCTAAAATTTGTATGGAACCACAATAGCCAAAGTAATGTTGAAAAAGAAGATCAATGCTAGAGGCGTCACAATTCTGGACTTCAAGCTATATTACAGATCTGTAGTCATCAAGACAGTATGGTACTGGCACAAAAACAGACACACAGATCAATGGAACAAAACAGAAAACCCATAAATGGACCCACAACTATATGGTAAACTAATCTCTGAAAAGCAGGAAAGAATATGCAATGGGAAAAAGACAGTCCTTTCAACAAATGGTTTTGGGAA